CTTTCCCTGTTTTACAGGGGAAAAACATCAGTAGCAGTTACATGCCACCACTCCTGCCCCATCAGCTTTACACTGCTCAAATTTTATAGTATGGATAAAGTTCCAGCAAAAGCAGGAACAGGAGTGTATGATGACAAGTGTGCATACAGATGACTGATCCACCCATTGTTAGCACGGTGCCTTTTGTGCCAATAGTCTTGAAATACTACAATATATTTTATAAAAATAGGATTCTTGCCCACTACATATTTTTTAGGTTCATCTCAGAAAATAAGATTCTCACCCACTCCATATTTTCTAGGTGCGTCAGGTTGATCCACTAGACTAGGAGTATATTCACATATGCAGAAATAACTATCCTCACCTTTAAAATAAACTCATATTCCCATAATGCAATGTTTTGAAATGTGATATGCTGCAGCTTTGTGATACCTAGTAGATGGAGGGCATGACTCATGCATTTATCCTAAAATAATAAAAATGGCAATGCTAAAACACATATTTATCTGCTATATGGCCTGAGATTTTAATCAAGGCAGGAAGACTTGTGTTATGCTTCCCATGACTGGGTTCCTTGCTTCATTGTCAAAAGCGTATGAGCTATGGAGTCATATGACATTGCACAACTTTTACATGCGAGTCCCTGTTAACAAAAACTAGTTGTTTGTTATTACTGTAATTCAAATCTGTGTTTTAACATAATATTGAAAATAGATGTTCCTCGCTATCAACATAATTCAGATTATTGTGGCAGAACTAGCCAGGCAAGTGGGTTTCCCAAACCAGACTGGCAAGGGAACCCCCCCTGTGGCAGCTCCCCAGGCCACTATCTGGTTCTAAGCAACCCCCTCTCACTTAGACCCAAGGGCTGAAGGAAAAAAAACAGGATTTTTTAAAATATACATTTTGTGTTCCAGGTCAAATCAGCCAAATCATATTGATTGGACAGAACTCAAGCATTCCAAAAACCATATCAATCGATCAGGCAGGACTTAATCATTCTAAACACCATGCATGGTGCTACAACTGGCGAGCATCCTCTAGCCTAGGCTCTCACTCTGGGACTTCAGATACTCCTAAATCCATTGGCAGGCATCCAACATGCAGGCCCAAGCCCAGAGGTCTTGGGATCTGGATGCCCCCTACACTTGATATGAGCCAAAAGGCCACCTCCCAAACACACTTCTCTAGTAGCCGACTATAGAGTTGGGTTTTTTGGGAAATATACACACACACATGTGAACGCACACACACATATATATATATATATATGTATGTATGTATGTATACACACACACATCAACTCAGAACGCTTTCAAAACAGACCAGTCCGAAAAACCCATATCCCTGCACCTGAGCACTCGTTACAATAATCACACCTGCACTCCTGTACACCCAAAATGCTGTTAGAGTGAAGCCCAGGAAAAAAGCTTGGCAGGAGCTTGAGGAAGTGTACAATAAATTGGGACATGGTGGATAAGGTTCCACTGGTGTCTACTGAGCTCCATCCTCAGAGGAAATTGGGAAAGCCCCATTCTGAAAGCACCCCCTAGGGTCACAAAGCTCCAGGCAACTTTTTCCCTTTAGATACAGAAGCTGTGGGGAGCAGAGGCAGGTGTCAACAAGTCCCAGGAGTGGAGATTTTTCTTCTGGAAATAGCAACTTTCACAGCATGGGCAATGTCATCAGACTCTGCCTTCTTCCACTTAAATGCTGAATACTTTTTTTTTTCCTCTAGGGATTGGCTGCTGACCGACCTTCTTCCAGGGGCATTCCCGCTGTCTCAGTCACTCATACTCTTCTCAGTCTACCCCTTCTCTTCATCTCCCTTTGCCTCTCTTCTTCCTCCTTCCTTTATTATGAATGTAATAAACTCACAGGGTCATTACTGGTTACCTTAAGACCAGCTGAGCTGTAAGGAGAGGATCTGGTACAACCTTACCCTGTTTCAGTGCCCTGGCAAGGAAGTTTGGCACTCAGGGCAAAGTCTGCAGCGACAGCCCGTCCTTGCCCTGTGCACAGATCCAGGGTGCGCTTGCCCTCCCCATGCTTGCCTGGGAGTGTGTGCTGCAGTGGGAGTTACCCTCCCCCTGTCCCCCCAAATGCCCCTCCAAATTTGCTGCTTGCAACTCCGTCCTGCACCCCACCTTGGCTCTGCAGCACCTCTTGGCACCACTTTGCTTTGGTGCCTGGGGCAGTCAGCCCGCTCGTCCCTCCCCACCCCCATCCCCTTTGCTATGGCACTGCCCTGTTTAATACTCAGGCAGCAGAGAGCTCCACAATCCCTCCTGTCCTGTTAAAGGAGGCACATCCTGGAGTTCAGAAAGGACTGGACTTGGCAAAGAGGCAGAGGCTGCATGTGAGGGAGCTGGTTGAAGAGTGGTTCAGGAACTGGAAAAAGCTGAGAGCTGGTCGGAGACACACTGTACTGCTGGTGGAGGGCAGCAGTAGGCACAAAAGGAAGCTATAGGGAAAGTTGTGGCCTGCAGGCAGGGAGCGGGTATGGAATGATCATGAGATTCTTACCCATATTCCTTTGTTGCTGGGCTGAGATAGGAACTGTTGTTGTAATCTCTTTTATAATTGCTGGAGCTCTGGTAGTCAGGTTATTTGCATGTTTTACTTTGCCAGGCCTAGGGGAAAAAAACAAAAAAAACCCCTCTGTTACTGATTTGCAGTGTGAATGCAGATGGGAAGCCATTGAGTGCTAGAGCCTTAAGAACCTGCAGCAAACATCTCCAAGGCTCACAGAGTACAATCCCTGTGTAAAAATACTGGTGTGCTAGAACACCAAGAGCAACACTGCAGGAGAGTGGGAGCTGTTATGCCGTTGATTCTTCCCTCTGTCTTTCATACATACATCCACATATGCTCCCATAATACAGTTGAGTGGAAAAGAGACATAAGCAAAACCTTTAAAAATAATATAAATTGGTTGCATATTATTACCCTTATCATCCTGTAGGTTTGACTTTTCCCATACATTTTGTTTTGTCTATTTAGGCACTGATCCTCCAGGATGTCCTATTCAGTGATCCCTGTAGCTTGGTATAGCCCCACTGAAATTAGATGCAATCAATCTGGAACAACTTGCAGAACTGGGGCTTTTTGATTCTAACTTT